TACTGTAAACAAATAACAAGAATTATAAAAGTGCCATCAGCACTTCGCACCCAGACAGGGGAATAACTTGTCTAAAATAAAGAGAAAGGAACTGTGTTTCTGTGTTGCTCTTTGTGTGTGTGCGCGTGTGTGTGTGTGTGTCTGTGTGGGACAGTCAGTGTTGGACCTGCCTTTACTCTTCCCCTGGGCGCTTTTGCTCTCATTTGGCTGTCTGTGGATTGTGTCCAGATAGAAGTGTGTGTGGTAACCTTCAAAAAGTGGCTGCAACTCTGTAATAAAAAGCAGTCCGGAGCCTGGGAGTGAGCCTGTGTCAGGGCATGTACCCTTTCAGCTCTTGGGACAGACAGAGGGCTTCAGACAACTCAGAGAGGACTCGCACTCAAACAGCTGCTGTAAAATTGATGATGTGCCCAATTATACGTGTCTGCTGAGGGGAGGTAGATGGACGGATAGAAGGACGAGGGGACGGAGAGGTGGAAAACGCTTCTTCCCCGGTGTGTTCTGCCTCCATCTTCCTGCCAACGGCTGGCAGGAAGGGAGGGATGAAAACGAGTGACATTCGGACCTCCGAGATGTCCTGAGTGATTTGATGTTCCTGCAGGCCAAGCTCAAAGGCAGACAGGCACGGTCAGTCACAGAAGGGAAAGACAGACAGACCGAAATGATGAAAGAAACTTTGACTCCACTAACACAATGTTTCAACGTTGTAGGGATGGGAAAAGTAGTAAAGTCGAAGCAATACACTCAGAATAAAAGGAAACATGATAAAAAGAAGATAAAAAGAAATTAACAACAGCTAAAGGAATTACTGGTAATTAAACACTGAATCTTTCAATGTGTCACGGTGTTTTAGAGACTTCTCAAGCTGAATCACAATTCATCTTTAAAGTAGGGCGGGGTATTGATACAGATTTCCTGATCTGTTTTGATACAAGCTCTCAATTTGACTAAGATTTGATTTGATCCATTTACAATTCATTGCAGTCTGTTTTGCTTATATATGAAGGAAATTTCCTGATCTTTTGTTGTAAATTGCATAGAACTACCAGCTCATAAGAGTCATTGTTTTGGGATTCGGGATTAGGTCATGCTATATGTTTCTGAGTTACTAAAAAGAAACCAGTAGGTAAGATTTATTTGTTTGCTAATATGATTCATGCTGTTCATGTTATATGTTTGTTTCTGTGTGCCACCTACAAAGACAACAAAACATAGAAAGGCGTTTCTTGCAGTTCTGTTGCGGTACACAGACTTTTTATTGAATAAAATTCAGTACAGACTGTGAACTCACAATCACAGTCATATGATTTCTTTTTTCTTTTACGGTGACTTCTGAAAAAGCGGTGTAGCTTAACCTGTTAACTTAGTATATTATGTAAATATTAATTTTATAAATAATTCCATGTTGACATCTGAAGGATGTACTGCGCTTTATCACAATCACTTAAAAAAAAATATGCTTAGATAAAAAGATTTTGATTTAAAGAATGAATATCAATGAAGTACGATTCAAATGATGATTGCGATTCATCAGAAATTCTATATTTTTACCCATCCCCTGAGTACTTCAAAATACAACTCGGTGAACCTCACTGAGAAATGCCAGTTTCACAGTTACCACCTTTTTAGATGACCTGCTTCATCATCATTAGATCTGTGTAATTAGATTATAACACCATAAATAAATAGACAGTTTAATATTGTGTGAAAGAATAATAATAATTTGAAATTTGATAGTATTGGCACAGTTCTGCTCCGAAATATCGCAGTGAGAACAGCGATCTCGTCCACAAATTGTGGTCAGCAATCAGTTAAATAGTCTGCATTAAAACCAGCTCATCAGTAATGATTGTGCTGTTATGGATTTTAGTAATATCCTTGCTAAATGGGCCTTGGGGATCTGGATCTTTAACTAGAGCATGCCTGTGGAAAAGCTTGGCGTCAGGGTCATTTAAATTGTTAATAGGGCCTTAAACGGGGGAAGAATATTTTATATCATTATGAGCACGAAGCCGTGTTCGTAAGCATGGAGTCTAGTTATTTATTTATTTAGGTTTTTTTTCTCATTCCTGAACGCCTGTTTTTCACAGCTACACCCTCAATTTACAGAATGTCAGCGTCCTCATTAAAGCGTGTGATAATTAATTAGCACCTCATTAAGTAGACATGTATCTAAAGTGCTGCATAAAAAAGAATAACTGACCATAATTCATGCTACGCTTCAAGTATATAGCTTTATTGCACATGCTGACCTGAGATCTGAATGTAATGTATCTTGGTGTCAATATTTTGTGTATTGTTGCATATAACAATTAAAATAATATCACCGTTAAAGGGATAGTTCACCCAAAAATTAAAATGTCATCATTATTTATTAACTCTCATGTTGTTCTAAACCTGCATGTCTTTCTGTGTAATGCAAAAGAAGGAATTAGGAAAAATGGCTGTTTTTTTGGGGGGGGGGGGCATACAATGAAAGTCAGTGTTGTTTTGGACCCCATTGACTTTCATTGTATGCACAAAAACAGTTAAAATATTAGTCTACATTTTTTGTTCCACAGAAGACAGAAAGTCATACAGGTTTTGAACAAAACGAGAGTAAACGATGACGACTTAGTCATGGAAGTAAACACATTTTTGGGTGAACTATCCCTCGACAGTGTCTAGTGAAAAGTCAGTGCTTTTTCGCCCCTCTAACGGCTCTTTTTTTTCTTCATAGAAAAGCAAGGAAGATAAATCATGTCATTTTCCCCTTCTCACAGAGTTTGTTTTTCTCCAGCCAAACTCTCTGCTCAAACCTTTGCCACATTCTTGTCCAAGTCTCATTACTCTACAAATATACAAATCAAGAAGAGAGACAGATAGATCAGATTATTAGTTAAACATATAGACCGAGACAAACGGATATATCAAGAGAGGAAGAGAGCCGTGGAATTGTGGGTTGGTAAAGTTCTTCTCACCCGTGGGATGCGGTGTACACACGGCTAATCGTCCAACAGTGTGTGTTTTTTGTGTATGTGTGTGTGCTTTTGGAGCTTAATGGCAATATCAATTTGCGGTCCCACAACTAAGAGAAATATTTATCTTTGCGCTCATGCACAGGGGAAAAAGAAACCAGAGTCCATAAAGTGTTTTACAGTGTGTTGGCCGCAGGAATATTACATTATACGGAGTTTGGTTTAACAGCTTTTATTCCATGTTTTCAGTGGCACAGGAAGACATTATGGCACGGTTTTATGCAGTCGGTCAGCCAACCCTCCTGTTTATTGATTTTGTGGAAATTCTTTTATGTACCTGCTCTATTTGTCCCTTCATATTTCTTTTGAATTCATTTGTATCAACTCCACATTCATTAGAATGAGCGTTAAATTATGTGGATGCCAACAATCGGAGTCAATGGAGATAGTGAAGCGTGTGACCCTTGAATAGGAGACCTTGACTCTGAATATTTCGCTATCAAGAAAGCGGTTACATTTCGGCTCACAGGCATCTGAAAAACATGACAGTCAAAGTTTTCTATTGTATCTATTGTGCATAGCAAGTTCGTTTTTTCTCCTTCTGTTTATTTATATCTCGTTGAGCGTAGAATATAGAGCGCTGACAGGATTGTTTCATTTGCGCTTAGTCCTTGCTTCATGCCAACGGTCTCATCTATCATCTGAAGTGATGTATGAGCGAGCGTGTCTGCACGCGTGTGTGTTGCATTGTTGCCATTGTGGCCGTTATTTAAAGGCCCCTTTCGCCTTGGACAGAGACAGATAGCGGTGCTTAATTTTCTTTACACAAGATTTCCACTCACGGGTGGGCGGCAGCGTGTCTCAGGCTCGGCAGCCAGCCACAGTTATGATGGTTATTAATATCTCTATTCGCTCTTTTAATCTGGCCTATCTGTCACATGCGCTGTGACTGCTCCATCAAATCTGAGTATCCTTCAATCTGTCCTCACTCTGATTGGAAATTAATGAAGGCAAGAGACGTGTGTTTAAGTGTCTCAGTCTTTCTCGTTCTCTGTGAACGCAGATGTAGCCCATTCCTCTGTTCCTTGAGCATCACGCTGACTCTTTGAGAGCTGCACCTGTGTAGCGTAAATCCAGTCATGAGTGCGTTGTTTACTCACAATTGTTTGGTGCATTTGAAAGCATAGCTTTGATCCATGCAAAGATTTTTCACTTCACTTTTTTTATTTTACTCTCTTCCTCTTCAGACTGCTAATGTGGTTTCTACTTACAGTGGAGAGGGTTATTGCTGGAGGAAGGGAGGGTGGGATTTTTGTTTTGTTCATTGTTTTTTTTTCTTCTTTCGACCCTTGGGATGTGAATATGACAGTGACCACAGACAGGCTTGTCAGACGCCATGTATGGGATGTTTATCTAAGTGTGAGCGTGTAAATGGGTGGTACGTCCATGACAGATGAAATGTGTTTGTACGCGAGCAGCTGAATATTGCATGTGCTGATCGGGCTCGGTCTGATACTGCATGCTGGGATTTGCAAAATATTTAAGACAGCATGTTGGTGAGAAGGAGATGTAGTCTTGAGATCCCCAGACATCAGAAATCAGGGTTGAAACTAGACTTTTACATGAGGCAGGGTGTTGCTAGGTGGTTGCTATGGTTTTTTGACTGCTTCTTTTTTTTAAATTTTTTTTAAGAAGAGCCCACTTTCAAGTTTCTGAGATCCTGATATGTCCCTCCTTCATTGTAATTCTATAACTTGAGACAAAGTTGCATTTTTTTAAGACAAGACACTACAGGCACAACCTTTTTTTTTTCCGTCACTGGTCAAGATGTTGGGCTATTTTGCTTCCATAACGTCATCTTTCAGACGAGTGAAAAGAAAACTTCCACAATTTATTTTATTACACTTTATCTATTTGCAAAATAAATTCCCTATCACGTAAATTCCTATTGAAGCGACTAAATTTTCCCTCGAAGATTAGCCAAACAGCAGTAAATACAACCACATCTTAACATGGCCTGTTTCTCTTCTTATCCTCCTACAGAGCAAGTGGGACAGGAGATCCTCACCAACCTGCACAGCGATCGCGAGAAGATCCAGAGATCCCGTGATCGGGTGAGTTTACACCCACAAACACACTCCTTAGACAGTCCTCAGGAGGCAACACTCATCCAGAACAAACACATACACATTTTTCTCACTAAGCAATTACACAGGCTTACAAATACTTGACTTGATCAGATCTTGGCTCTTTAGGATGACACAAAGTGCCCTAGATCAGACACTTGACAAGAGAACAGGAGCGCACTCAAGGTCAGGCAGTTAACACCAGCTTGCACCTCTCACACATTAGCATAGCGGGCCTTCTGGAATGATTGATTGAATGTACAGAACACAGAATGTTTGACACAGAGTACAGCACAAATAAGAAGCCTTTGTAGTTGTTCCGTCTCATGCGGTGAGATCACGCATGATGCAAGACTGTCTAAACGGGCATAGCTGGACAACACAAGCATTTGTTCTCCATTCTTTCGGCTGCTATAACTCTGCAAGTCTTTCCGCTACATGTGTGACTATGCTGGACGGATGTCACGAAAGGGATTGTTGATTACAGACTGGTGTAGACTACATTACACAAGATACTTTTTATGAAATATATATTTACAGTGGACTCAAAAATATATTTGGACACTTAAACCACATTTAAGAATGTATGTATTAAGAATGAATGTATTAAGAATGCTACTAAATTACACTCCTTTTCACAGAACTAACTTCACTTTTCTGTGCCGTTTTTTTTTTTCTAGCTATTTTTTACTTTTTATTAATTAAGGGTAAAGGTAACTTTTAGTAGATGTAGATATAGGTGCCCTAGAAGAACTGTTTTATAATTTATAACCTAACAGACTTCTTTTTGTGACTTTTTTTTTTTCTTATGGTCTGCTTGTGCACTTTTTTTTTTTTAATACAGTAAATGCCACTTTTATATTTTGTGTCTTATTCAATGGCATTCATATATTTTTAGGTGTAACTTGAGTGTCCAAATAGTTTTTGTGTCCATTATAACTAATATGTGTAGAACACATATTAGTCATCTATAAATGAAATATATCTGTAATTTCTCAATTTAAATTGTTTCTGAATCGCAATTCTCTTTGACCTCAAACATATGTACGTATGTATGTCTATATATATATATATATATATATAATTATATAATTATTTTTATATATGTCTAGTGTGAGCTGAGGATGAATCAAAGTTGGGGTCGGGTTAGGTGATGTCTGATATGACCTCAGCAGATGCTCTCGGACCTTGTGTTGAGGATTTTCTGAGTGAAAGCTGCTATGGTTGACTGAACTCTGTCTCTCCTGTCAGAAACTGCATTTATCTCCTCACAAGCACTCTCCCATATGACCGAGAGAAACATACAGAGAGAATGAGAGGTACCATATCAGGAAAAAATTAAGAAAATTAAAAATATTTAATAAAAAAAATAATAAAAATGTACGAATGTTAAAAATATTATAATATATACTAATATTTTCCTTTAACAAGTTATATTAAAATGAATAAAAAAAGATTATGGTATTAATCATCTCATTATTATTTATATATATATATATATTTACAGTATATATGTGTGTGTGTGTGTGTGTGTGTGTGTATTTATGTGTGTGTACAAATATATATATGTATATAACATCAAAATGAGTACGATTCGGTAGTGTGATTTTAATGAGATTTTATATACATATTTATTATATTTATATACATATACAAATATATATCTGTCATTTTTAAAAAGTTGTATTGGAAAAATCTTTCTTTTTTACCCAGACGTATCGATATCCTTCAGGGCAATATAGACATAAGTATGCCACGCTTAGATTGAAAGGTGTTGATATAGAGGACTGTTTGTGAGCTTTTTTGAGTGTCACTCCTCCTACCAGGTATCAAATGTCTTTCTCTCTACATCCTCATCCCTTTTTTACTCCCCCCTCCTTACTTCAACCTTTATTTGTTACTTTATCCTCTGCATGTATAATCGTTTTTACCTTTCCATATCTCAGTCTATCCCTCCTATTTTGTTTGTCCCTGCCGTGTCCGCTGTCATAGTCTTACTTCTCTCTCTTTTTCTCTCTCTCACCCTCTCTTTCTTTCTAGAAGACAGGTATAGAGAGCTCAGTCAGGGGCCTCTCTGATGGCTTCTTATGAAGGATGCTTAAAGATCACAACATGGCAGTTGGGCAGGCAGCTCATTTCAAAGGAAATAAAACATTTCCTTTCAAAGGTCTGCTGTCTATGGAGAATAGCTCTCCTTCCCCGGAGCCCTGACTGGCCCTCACACTTTAAAGACATTTTGCCAGGCAGGAGAAATGGAGAGGAGAAAAGAAAAGAAAGCATGATAAGAAGACATTAGATGGAAAGAGCAATAAACTGCTTTTTGAGCGAAGGAAACAGCAGATGAAAGAGTTTTTGGAGTGTCTCTTAACAATCAGTTCACTCAGTCTCTTTCAAACAGACGCACACAAACACTAAGAGAGACGTAGTGCCTTGCAATCGCCACTATTACTATTGCTCATCCTCAGTGCCTCTAACTCTAACTTAGACAGATAACTTATCCTGCACCAACTTGGCAAAATCCCATAGTTAAGATACGTTTTAAATTCATAGTTTGGTATCTCTGTTCTGAAATGGGGACTAAATTGTTACAGCATTGCATTTTGTCTTGCAAAAGTCACATGGGAGCAAACTGCTGCTTCATTGGTCAGAATGTTTTTGTGTCTTTTATATATTCTAGTGTTTAGCTCAAAGTGGTATTTCTGAATGTCAAGGTGGTTGGATGTCCAAGTTGGATGTTTTGCATGATAAACATTAAAAGAGGTGGGGGGGAAATCCCACAGACTTTAGGTAGTTCTCTGTTCATGTTTTGGTTTCTTTGTTCCGAAACAGAGACTAAATTGTTACAGCGTTGTATTTTGTTCTGCAATTTGATTCACATTGTAATATTTCAAAAAGAGCCAAAATTTGTCACATGGGAACAAACTGCCACCTCATTGGTCAGAATGTGTGCCATTTATATTACAGTGATTAGCTTAAAGCAGCATTTCCGAATGTCAAGATGGTTCTGACATTCTGATGTTTTTTGCATGGTAAACATTAGGGCTGCACGATAAATCGCATGCGATATTTAACGCGCATCTTGTCAGAAAGCCGGTTCTGTAATCAGCGGTAAATCTCCATCACGTGCGTGCTTTCACACATTAAATCCCATAGAGTTCTGGTTGTTTTCGGTTTTCATAGTCTGTTTTTCTTTGATCTCCCTGACTGGGTTAGCTTTGCCAAGGCGACATTTCAAAACAGACCAAAATTTGTTAATAAAATAAAAACTGCGCCCACATTGGTCAGAATTTTTCTGCACCACTTGTTCCCGTTTTTACTTATAGTGGCTTTTTCAAATGTCAAGATTTCTATTTATCAATTTGAGATCAAAAGATTACAAGATTATATGAGTCACATTTTGATTACGAATACAGTGACCAAATTACATAAAGTGTAAATATTATGCTTATACTGTCTTTTTAAATGGCTAATATTCCTGTTTCTGGTTATGCTATGATTGTTGTTCATTGTATTTTTCTTTATTTAGGTTTAGGTCTGCGTGACTATAGCTCTTTTAACTCTTTTCAATGAAATTCAGACATTGAATCGAGCTACTGGGAATCATCTTACCAAGACCATTTACTGTACAAGTCTGTAATCGGACTCTGCTCTAGATCTGCTGTACTGGTAATCTCTTTTGTTGTGGGTCTTGTTTAGCTCCACCATGTGTTTTTGTGTTGGCACAACTCTGACCTGAGAGAGAAAGAGAGAGGGATTTTGGGAAAAGCCGAGGGAGCTCTCATGGGACAGATCTATCATTGAGAGAGACATCAGGCAGCTCTTGGGCTGTTGGTGGTGCCAGAACCCAAACCCGCCTAAAACCACATCTGTCCCCGCTAACACACACACCCACACACCCACATACACATACTCATGTCCCTGCTGACTGAGACGACAGAGAAGGAGGAGGCTTTCTCAAGGAGGCCAGCCAGAATCACGTATCTGACGCTGCCAGAGCTCTGGCTTCACTTCCATAGCAATGTCAGCATTCCTAAACACACACACACACGTCTCCAGATGTATAGCCTTTACTTATGCATCCCCCTACTTCAGCCATATATTGAATGTAAAACATGCACTACCAGTCAAATATTTTGGAATAGTTAATTAGTCTTATAATATCTGAAGGATCTGAAAAAGAATTTCTGAAGGATCATGTGACACTAAAGACTAGAATAATGGCTGCTGAAAATTCAGCTTTGCCGTCACATTTTAAATTACATTCAAACTGCATTTTAGGGTATATTAAAATAGAAAACTTCTTTTCAATTGTAATAATAAAAGTTTTTATTGCATGTTTGATCAAATAAATGCTGCCTTGGTGAGCATAAGAGACTTCTTTCAAAAACATTAAAAAATATATATTATTCCAAACTTCTGACCGGTAGTGTATATACACTTAAAAGAGAAAGAATGTGTCGCAACAGACATGAAAAGAAGTACAAACTGGATTAATAACAGTTAATTTCGTACCTATAGACAGTCTTCTCTGACTAAAGTCTATAAACATTCTAAGCCTATTTTTATAGCATAAGTTTAACATGACCTCTAACGTGGACATTCTCTTTTCTTTTTTCCTCTCTCTTCTTCTCCACAGCTGAGAGAGACGGACGCTAACTTGGGCAAGAGCTCTCGGATCCTGACCAGCATGCTGAGAAGGTAAGAGGAAGGTAGGGACCGTTTCTGATACCTCCCTATGGATGCAGCCCTATACCCATCCACTGCATGAAATGTACTCAAATGTACACACTTATTGTTATGCACTGCGATTGCACAGCATGAATATAAATGGTGTTGTAATTAGTAATTCAGTAAAATCCAATTACCCCGAACACCCCACTTCCTCTCAATACATTGTTGTACGTGAATGAACATACTGTAACAGATCAGTTTTAGTCATTATTTGACTTCCATTGAATCTGCACATTCACATTTTATATGATTATTATGTGGGAAAATGTGTGGAATTCTGGATTTAAAAATTTAGCTTTCCCATAGAAACTCCCATAGGCCTTCATAACTATGTTTTTCACTTTTCAGTTGTGCACTCTCTTTCAAAATCTGTTTAAAAGTTCCAAATATCAATCTGTTTTATCTATAGTTTATTGATAAGCATATTTGATACTTTTTTTGTAATTTTATATAGGTTTTTAAATTCACTAAATTATTATTATTATTATTATTTTTTAATTCATTTATTTATTTTTTAATGTTGAACTTTCAAAAAAAAAAAAAACATTTTAAGAAGTCTCTTAAGCACACCAAGGCTTTATTAATTTGATCAAACATACAGTAAAAATGGTAATATTGTGAAATGTTATTACAATATTAAATTATATATTTTAAAATGTAATTTATTCTTGTAATGGCAAAGCTGATTTTTTTAGCAATCATTACACCAGTATTTAATGTCACCCGATCCTTCAGAAAGCATCTTAATATACTGTTAAAAAAACAGTATTTATTTTAAATAGTTTTTTGTTTTTCACTGTACAAGTCTTTACTGTTACTTTTGATTAATGCATCTTTGCTGAATAAAATTATTAATTTATAAGTATATATATTTATTTTTATCAAAAATCTTTTGAATGGTAGTGTATGTATATATGTTACTTACAGTATAGTGTGTGTATACAATTTTTTTTTTCATCAGCATTTATCAATATAATTTAATGAATCACGTATGTTCAGATTCAGTGTTCTGGCTCCTACAGGCACAGATTCCATGTGGGCCTAGTCATCATGCATTTGGGTTTTTTCAACACTCTTCTGCCCTAAAGCAGATCTAGTGTTCCTGCCACTATTCTGTCTCTATGTAGTATCAGCTTTAAACAGCAGAACTCATCATTCATATCAGCAGGCTGATGAGATATTGGCTTTTTTCCCTGTGTGGTAGATGTGAGATAACTGTAGCAATGCACAGCCACTCTCGCTCTCTCTCTCTCTGTTCCACTTACTGTTGTTTTCTCCGCCAGCCTCATATCTCTCTCCTTCACACACGCACAATTCAGTTAAACGTCTGTCACATCTCCGTTTTATAAAGTGCCTATGCACCCTTTCCTGAACCATGACGACAAGGTTTTGTTTCTTTTTTTCTTTTTTTGATTAAGAGTAATATGTAAATGACACCAGCTAAATTTAAAACCCTGGGGCCAGGAAGGAAGTGCCAATTGAAATAGATGCTTCAGTGGTCGTAGACAATCAGGACGTGTGAGGCGAGCGAGAGGGAGAGGAGGAGACACACACACAGAGAGAGAGCAAGATGCTAAGGACGCAGACTGTAACCAATATTTCTGCATATGTCTCCATTTTGTCAAGTCTCATTAGAGGGGCCGCGGCCGCCGGGTGTCACAGAAGCTGTCCAGAAATCATTCATCATCCTCCTTTGCTTCCCACCTCCCTCTGTTTCTCTCTTATTCCATCCTTCCCCACCGCTAAGTAAATAACACACACTTATTTCAATATTATCATATTAATGTTAAAGTTCAGCTGTCACCTAATGGGAAGACTTAATCAGACGTAGCATTTAAGCAATGTAGTGCTGCAGTGAGGCCGCCTCAAATCAGGATTTATGAGCTTTTTCCACGCACGGCGTCTGCCATCAGCTCGCTGCCTTTCTGCATGAAGGCCCACCGCACCCCCCGTTCTTCCTGTCTGCCTAGTAAAGGCCTTCTCTCTCTTCCTCTAGATCTCTCTTCCTAACTAGTTTTTGCCTTTCTGTTTGAAAAAGAGCAAATAAAGCCTTCCTACATATTAAATTTGCATTGCATCTCAAAGCCATTTGCAACAGAAAAGTAGCAAAGACAACAAATAGATGTTTTGGTTTACTTTTTTTCTGGTGTGTTTTTTTTGTCTTTCATAAATTTTCCTAGCTTTTATTTAATTGCATGCTTGCTTAATCTTTGGACGTTTGATTAATAGCTTAATATATTAGATATTACTATTACTACACCGCATATTACTTTTTTTGGTTTTAGCCCCTAACCAGTGTTATATTATTACATTGTTTTATTAATATTTTTAATTAACTTTTATATTTTCAATTTTAATTTTAGTTTAGGTTTAGTTTAAGTTCTGTTATTTTAGTTATGTGCTTTTGTCATTTTTATTAGTTTTTTAGTTTAGTTAAATTAGTTATTTATTTACTTTCTATTTCTATTTAGCCTTATTGTATATTTATTTCAGTTTTAGTTTTATAAATTTTTGAAATTTAAGTTTTTCATCTAATATTTATATTTATTTTATTTCAGCTTTCATTTTATGTCAATAATTTTTAATAGTTTTTAGATTTATATTTAGTTAGTAAGAACAGCACTGCCCCTAACCCTGCGTATTAAATTTCGCTCTGTCCCATGGCAAGATACCCTAAATTATGAGGATTGTTGTGGAAAGGTGTAATATTACTTTTCTGAGTGATCAGAGCTCAGATTTTTACTTGGCTGATGATAAAACAACAAAAAAATCCCATAGAATTACAATGAAAGATGTACCAGAATATCATAGAGACTTCAGAGGACAGTCTTTTAACTTGGGCCAGCAAGTGTCCACCTAGCAACCATCCAGAACCTTAGCAACCACTTAGCAATCACCCTAGAATCTTGTCGGAGTTATGTAAGATATTATCTCCTTTCCTTTTTTATAGGTACTCAATTTGATGCTTGATTGGAAATGAAAATCACTTTACAGTGTATTTTCTTGATCATGAAAATATCTTACTTAATTTACATATTTTAATTTAGATTAATTATAAACTGAGGCTAAAAATTACTGTTTTTAGTTAGCAAGTTAACAACTTAGTTTACTAGCTTTGCATTACGTAACTGTTAAGACAATCATTTTAAAATAAATAAATATATATATAATATGTTTATTAAGGACAAGTTATCACAATAATGCACTACTTTTTTTAATTAGGCATTGAGGAAGAGGGATAAGATCTTTCACAACAGCAACAAGTTTTGTACAAGCAGCACTCATTTTCTTCAGAAAATGTAAGAAACTGCTTTTTAAAAATCCACAATGTCATTTCTCAGGGTCAAAGGGCTTTTGGATTTGTATTTTTCTCAAATGGCTGTACGGTATGATTTAATTCTTTGCTTGCCCTGGGTACAGATGTGAGGGTAATTCAAATGAAAGCGAGGTGAACTTGACTCCCCACAATGCTACGTAAGTTATTATCTGCATTGGCCTTTGTACACACACTCACTTACTCCAGGTTGTGTTTGTCATGGTGAGGTTCACAGGCTCTCAGCTGTGAGTTGAGGACAGAGCATTAGCCCGCTGCGATAAATATTGTTGTAAGATGGAGACAGAGAGACCCGCGCCGCACCAGATGTTTACCCTGAGTGGAGAGCACTGTGTGGGTGAGGATGACTCCAAATATGTGTACTCTGTGATACTTCCGCTCCGAGGACACTGCGTGCATTTTGAGCACAGCTCCTGTTTTCATCCCCGACTTTCCAGAGTTCAAACGATTCTGTTTATAATACACTGGTATCAAATAAGAGATGCGTATCCCAAAAGGTCTTTAACAGAGGGATTTAACAGTGACACATCTCTGATAGTCTGGTAATTCAGCCCTTAATCAAAGTAAAGCAAAGCAGTTTTATTTTCTTGGTCCTCTCGTTCTCTCTCTCCCTAAGCAGACTACTGAGCTGGGCCGTCTCATGCTCCAGCTCACACTAAATTATTAATGGTCAGCTTCAGAAACTCCTGAGGGTTTTAATTATATTGTCATGGTCATACTCATCTCATTAAATTTTAATGGCGATGCCTGCTTAAAGAAATCATAATATTATTAAAGAATAATCATACCAATTAAAACATTTGCCTTGATGACGGATTGTTTAATACACAAGTTACTGGACTCAATCGAGCCTTCAAAGCAGCCTGAGAGGAGGGCTGAAGCTGCGTGAGCAATGTGACCTTGCATTAGAAGTTCTTAGACATACAAACTTACAGTTGGAAGTAGTTTGGTAGATTTGTTTTGCAAGAGTATGTATTAACAAGACTTAAAACTGAAAACAGGTCCTTTGTAGTGCTGACAGTTTCTGCACTGGGTCTGTACCTATATGGTTGTTTTAAAGGAATAGTTCACCCAAAAAAAAGAACATTCTGTCATTATTTACTCACCCTTATTTTGTTCCAAACCTGTATGACTTTCTTTTGATATATTAAAAATACAATGTTTATACATACAATGAAATTCAAAGGGGTTCCGATGTTGTTTGGACACCAACATTCTTTAAAATGTCTTCTTTTGTGCTCTACAGAAGAAAGAAAATCATACAGGTTAGGAATGACATGAGGTTGAGTAAATGATGATGGAACACTCAAATATTTCCAACTTGGCAGGTAATTCAAAATGCTTTCCATGATTTCTTGCATTTTTGGGAAAGAAATGAGACAAAAACAAGATTTCCAAGTTTAATCCAGTGAAATAATTTGTTAAATAATTGGATATTGTTGATTAAATCAGACGAACAAACTAGAGGCGCTCAGTATCTGTTGTCCTTCACATTGTTGTCTGATTGCAATGCATCTTGGGTGCATTTATACCTGGTTTTTAATGTTTTTTAAGTGCAGTCATGTTTTTAGTTCACCCAAAAATAAAAATTCTTATTTTTATAATATATAATTCTTATCATTTGCTCCCCCTG